TGAAAAACTTTCAAAACTGAAAAACTTTCAAAACTGAAAAATTTTTAAAACTGAAAAAATTTCAAAACTGAAAATTTTTCAAAGTGAAAAACTTTCAAAACTTTAAAATTTTCAAAACTGAGAAAACTTTAGCTTCATATTTGATCTTTGTGATTTTATTCTTTCAATTGAAGAAAAACTGACTTCGTTTCACAGAGAGAGCGTAATTTTGAACGCTTGCACAGAACTCGGGAGTGGCAGAGAAACACACTTGGCACAGATTTGGGCAGATATTTGTTGCAACAAGAAACTTGATTTCTTCGTCCTCAAAATGCCGTTTTGTAATCGGGATTCGGACGTATTTAACCATTCGAATTTGTTGATTGCCGCGTCGTATGGCTGAGCCGTCTTTCTTCTTTGAAGGCATCGACATCAGTTTTGTAAATGCTGTTTCATGATTCCACATTATTCCGGACTTCGGGGTCATTCCAGGGATAGAAAAGTGAAAAGACGTCCCTTTTTCGGTAGTTGATGGCGACGCATTCAGCATTTCAATCAGCTTTTCCAAACCAATCGAAGGAATGTAAGTCCCTTCTGTTTCAATCTTTCGCATTTTCTGTTTGAGAGTCGATCCCGCACCGTCCACAAACGACTTCCCATGTCGGGTGATTTTGAACGCTTTCATCATTTGTATGCCCCAGTTGTCGGTATCAGCGATGTCTGCTAGGCTGAATCTGGACTTGTACTCAACAGCGTTGTCGCTGAGAAGCACGCCAACTGTATCTTCGTTGATGGTCATCAGCTGAGTTGCTTTAATGTGATTCAAAACCTTCAGCAGATGGGTCTTGATAACAGCGGGCGATTTGACGAATTTTCTTTCCTTGTTTTTCTCCATGAGAAGTCCCGAGTCTAGTCTTACTCGCTCTCTTTCACCCGACTCTGTCATCTTGAATCCCCAAGCAACAACGATATGAACAACAAGCTCGATTTTGGTTCCCATTTCTGCCTGAAAACATATTAGCACAAGATTTTTTCGAGCTTTTTACTTACGTTTTGGGTCGTCTTTACTCCTCCTTGACAGGTGTACTCTCCACTGTAGTCAATTTCGAAGAAAATCGTATTGTCGAATTCTTTCTCACCGCGTCGTACCTGTCCATAAAGAAGATTTGCAAGCCTGTTCTCAGAGTAATGATAGGAGTTTTCATCAAATGCTGAGCTGAGATCTTCGACAAGTTGCTGAATACTTTCAGAATATAATAATTATAGTTGATTTTACCTTATCACTGAGCTTTAAGCGGGTATGAACATCTTTCATGATTAGAACCGGCTCGGAGCCTGGTTGAAGGCGTTTATAAACATCTCTCATAAGCATAATGTTGTATCGCTCAAGTTGCGGCGTCTCATCGCGGAAAAGAACGTCGATCTCTTCGAAGCGCTCCCGCAGGAGAGGTAAAACTTTTCCCTCGCCATCATTGCAGTCGCATTTGCCTTCCGCACATGCAAGAGGGACAATGTAAGGGTCCTGATATATTGAGTTCTTGCAGCCTTTCAAGTCGTAGATCATCTCAATGATTTCTTCACGAGTCAGCTTTCGTTTTTCGATCTTTTGTAAGATCAAAAGGTCGGAAACTTAAAATCTGTTAGATTTGAAATATTATCTAAAAGCTAACATTTCGATAGGAGGTTCCCAAGATTACTGCAAGGAGCGCAAATACACTGATAGGTATCCCGATGACGTGGCTCGATCATCATCGGCGGTATGAGCGCCCGAAAATGATGCAAAGAGATCGTTTCCTGCCCCTTTGAGAGACGAACAGCGTTGAATTCTTCCCACAGTCCATTGTATTTCGAATGCGCGAGTCTTCTTGTGCATTGAACTTTCTCGACTTTCTCATTAGTCGTGAAGAGAAGTCCGAACTTCATCTGGAATTTTTCTTTCTTTAGATTTTCATACAAATCAATGGATCTTTCGATGATGAGTGACGTTTTGCATTCAAATGCCTTTGTTTCGGGTGATTCATCGCTGTGGTCGTAAATATAATCCAAAATTGATTCCTTGTCTTCATCAGTGATTCCGCGTAATCGTCTTACTTTTGCTTTTCGGTCGTCATCATATTTTTCGCAGCCGAGAACTTGCTCACGTCTCTCCAAGGCCATTTTAACGTGCTTGTTCGTCATGCGAAGAGGCTTGTCACGTTGGAATTCTGAGCCAAGATTATTTGACCAGTTCACAATAAGCCTTATCTCTTCATTCGTGACACCATAGATGAGTCGAGTTGGCAAGAAGCTGCTGAGCATAATGATGCGGGCATTTAGCGCAGAATAGTGCCAAATTTCCATCAGTTCTGGAGTAATGAAACTTGCCGGGATGAGATCACGCTTTTGACCAGACGAAGTTGCTTAACGAGATGAGTCTCTGCATCGATTCTTGTCTCCTTCTGACTTGCTGAAATAGTGGCGATTGTATCGTTGACAGAAGATATTGTTGTTTCGTGCATCTCCTCATCGTGAGACGATTCAATCGATTCCTTCGAATCTGGCTGATAAATCGAGCCCTGACTTCCATCACTTGAATTTTGGCTTGAGCTTCTATCATCTGCAGCAGGAAATGGATCGGTTTTCGCGGATTGAGAATCGATCATCAAGTTTTCTTCGGCCAGTTCAGCCACATCAACCCCAACATCATGATCTTCTTGCTCCAAGCTCTCAGCTTCGTCAAACAAATCTTCGGGGTCTTAATATTAAAAATAAATATTTCAAATATCTGACACAAGATTTACCTTCGAGAAGTTCAGTTATACTGTCGCAAAAAGAAAAATGAAGATGAATTGCAGTTTGATCGTTGAGCTTATCTTTTCCGCAGGCAAAACACTGAGAGTTCTCGTGGTAACCCGGAAGGTTCTGAAGCTTTTCCAATTTCTCTCCTCTTGGGATTCGCTCAAAGATTGTCTCTACAATAGGACAGCTATTGTAGTGCTGAACTGCCTTTTATTAGCAGCTTTTCTTTGGTCTTTCGTCATGGCTCCAGAATCTCGCTTGACGCCCAAGGAGTCTCTACAGAATGCGCAGAATCGAACAAAACTGTCGGTGTTGTAGTTTTCTCTGATATCAGCGTGTTTGATAAACTTCGTTACCTCGATTATACTTTTGAAGCGCTTTTCACTCATTATCTGAAAATCCTAGCTTTAAAATTATTCCACAAAAACAACAGAAGGAAGAGAAATAGCCAGGCAGTCTCGCAGTAACGCTCTCTATCGAAAAAGAGCCTAGAGGCGGGCGAATAACAGCCTCTTGCGCGAAGCGCCCTAAGCGCGCTGACTCATTTCGAAAAAGAGCCTAGAGGCGGGCGAATCACAGCCTCTTGCGCGAAGCGCCCTGAGCGCGATGACTCATTTTAAAAAATAACCACTTATTGAGATTTTTTAAAATTAAAATCTCTGAAATTTTTTCAGTTTTGGAACTTTTTCAGTTTTGAAAATTTTTCAGTTTTGAAAGTTTTTCAGTTCTGAAAATTTTAAAGTTTTGAAAGTTTTTCACTTTGAAAAATTTTCAGTTTTGAAATTTTTCAGTTTTGAAACTTTTTCAGTTTTGAAAATTTTTCAGTTTTGAAAGTTGTTCAGTTTTGAAAGTTTTTCAGTTTTGAAAGATTTTCAGTTTTGAAAAATTTTCAGTTTTGAAAGTTTTTCAGCCTTGAAAAATCTTCAGTTTTGAAAATTTTTCAGTTTTGAAAATTTTTCAGTTTTGAAAGTCTTACAGTTTTGAAAGTTTTTCAGTTTTGAAAAATTTTCAGTTTTGAAAGTTTTTCAGCCTTGAAAGTTTTTCAGTTTTGAAAGTTTTTCAGTTATGAAAAATTTTAAAAAAAAAATTCAATTCAAAAAAAAAATTCTTGAAAAAAATTCTTGAAAAAATTTTTTTTTTGAAAAATTTTCATCAGCAATGGTCAACCGGGCGGTTAACCACCCGGTTGGTTTATCTTTTGGTCAAAAATGAATGCAGCATCGAAAAATAAGTCGATTGGTATGTATATTTGCATATATACTGTACCTTGAGAAATGAACCGCGGTTTACCACGCGGTTAACCGGGTGGTTGGCCGCGGTTAAGGGGTCCGCCAAAAGCTTGAGTCCTGAGGATTCCAATGACGTCAAAATCTCCCGAAAAATAAGTTCCCTGGGGCTATTTAGGGGGAGTTTGTAATTTTTCAATCGGGCCTATGAGTCATAATTTATGCCCCTAGGCAAAAAAATATTTTTCTAGCACAACTTTTACGCTCTTTCAGATGAGCACATAAAAAGGGGGTCATTTTTGCCCGAAAATTTCTTATTGAAATTCGTCTAATTGGAATGTTCTCCTGACATCAAGATTATTCCAGCAATGATTTTAGCACGTATTCTTATAGATAAGCTTGTATTGTCTTTTGTTGAACATTAATTTATTTGAAGTACGATCATAAAAGGAATTTATGAAATTGAAAAAACAAAGCGGGCTCAATAAAGCAGGCTGATTTCGAAATTGAAACGACATTAACAAAGGATTTCGATTCGAGAAAATTCTACCGCAGGCGTGCGCTATAAAGTTGACCCGTGATCAGAATGAGCCATCTTGTGTATTTTGCTAACAGATCGCATGAGTCTTGAAGAAATTTCGAGATGACCTTAGGGTCACGGCCGTTTTCAAAATTTTAGCAGTTACCCGAGGTAACCGGAATGGAATGTTTGAGCTTCCTAATTATGGCAATTTCGTGGTGGTCGGTAGTCAGCGACAACAAATCCAAATGGTGCCACATTGAAAAGGTCGGCGCGGTTGTATCTGACAGGTCGCCCGGTCGCATCTACGAATTAATCAAGCTCCTTATGCGACTGTGGAAATATTCGGATTTGCGGTTGACTTCGACCAGGCCTCCCAGGCTGGCGCAAGAATCGACGGAAGATTTCAAGGGTTCTAGAACACGCCAAGAGGGAAGTGTTGTTATTGACCAATGATTCTCATTCGAAGATTTCATCGAAATTTAAAGGTTTGAAAAATGGAAACTGACGAACCAATTATTCCATCTGCTTCGTTTGGAAAACGTTCAATGGGCTACAAACGTCAAGTAGGTAGCTTTAGGCTGAGAAAACTTGTATAATACAAATAATAATAATTATTTATTGAAGGCACCAAGAAAGCATCAGGTCTGGCTTCCTGAGATTCCATCGATGGAAGGCTTTACAATCGACAACAAAGAAATGCTCATGAACTTGATGGATACGGTCAAGTAAGTACCCTTTTTAATGATTAAATACAGTGTTTCAGATAAAGTTAATCATTTAAATCATAGGCTGCGAATGGAACGCCGGGAAGCATTCAATGATCAGCTTGAGACACCAGTGTCGATTTTGCGAAAGAAGCTCAACCACATGCAGCGGGAAAACACGGAGACTTTGAACAAGCTCCGAATCCTTGAGCCGCAGAATGAAAAACTGGAAGGCGATAACGAGCGATTGAGCAAGGACAATCGACGCCTTGAGAAGAAAAACCGAGCGTTGATGGAAGCTCAGCGGGTTTACGAACTAGACAAGAAGGAGACTGAAGCCGAGATGCAGGTTTGATTCAGTAATTATTTATCTTATTTAACGAGTAATTCAAGATGATGTCGAGCAAGCTTGAAAGCGAAAACAGAACCAAAAAGGCGATTGAAATGAACGCTAAGCGCCAGATTGAAGATGCCAAGCGCAAGTTGGAGTTGGAAAACTCAAGAAAAGTTCGAGAGCTTGAGGAGAAATCAAAAGCTCGTAAGGCTGCCCAGGAAGAAAAAATGAAGCAGCTAAAGGTAAGAATATTCATTGTCAAAAACCTCAATATTTTGAAGAGCATTCTCTTCCAAAACGCGCCAAGAACTCCAGCAGTCAGCACCCGGGGTGATACAAACACAATGGATTACCAGCAGCATTTGGACGCAGCTCGACTTGAAGTAAGACTCAAGCGAGAATCAATCGTTAATTCTTTCAATTTAGCGAAAACGGACCAATTCTGAAACGAAAAAGCAGCCAGCGGAACCTCTTGAGGCTCCTGTCAAAAGCCCTGGTGGAAACTCAGGATTCTCGCTCAAGGGCATCACCAATGTTCGCTCACCAGCCGGTAGTGAGACAAGTGTCCTCAAGCAATTGAGAGGACGCAAGGGAAACTCTCGCAGCTCGCTCAATCCCCGAAACGAGGTGAGCAAAGAACAACATATAAAAACGATAAATCATCTTTTAGACAACGCAGAATATTGCGGTTCGACGTCGTTCACGATCAGCTGACAAGTGTCGAATGCTCGCTCATACTCCGTCTGAGACGGAAGTGCAAGGAACCATTCATCAGGTAATCATCGCGAATTTAATTAAAGATGCGAGCGACATCGACGAATTCCGGCGTCTAAATTCTCTTTCAGAATCCTGTTACCGCGAAACGCACTGGATCTGACTCGAGCGTTGCCTCGAAAATTATGAAGGCTCTCTCCGCCAAATTCACCAAGGTAAAGCACCTTAATTATGATCGATTTTATAACAAAAATAGAGCAAGGACGCCAATCGAAAGAACGTCAATGTGCCGCAATTCGAAGATCTCCTCAAGGTCGAGAATTATCTTCTAACTCACCAGGAGGCTAACGTAAGTAAACATTCTCATGAAAAATTGTCAGGCGATCTGTTCAGGCAAAAACAAAAGAAACCACTCTCCTGAAAGGCGACGTCCTCGGCACCAGAACTGGCGGTACTCAAGTTCGCTTCACTGGACTCGAGAAGCTCGTTTCCGGATTAACTCCGTAAGTCTAGCTGTTTATTGAGAATCTGACGTTTTCTTTAGTCGAGCTGGCGTTGAAGATGGAGGTGCAATTTCATCAGAAACTGAGTCCGAGTCATTTTCGCAGACTGACCTCGCAGTTCGCTGCGACCGGGCAGTTATTCACGAAGGGGGCGCGCCAACTGCTCAGATTACTGGCGGTGCTAACAACAGGTGCTTATAAGTGTCAAACAATAGTTTTATTCGTTCTCATAGAAGATTCACCCAAAGCCAGACAAGCATCACGATGGTCGACCATACCACCGAAGACTTCCCTCGACCAGAAGAGCTTCCCTTCGCCACTTCCATCAACAGCCGAACAAGTGGTCAAAGTCGACGGAGACAAAACCAGTCGATGGAGTTCTAAGACTCGATTAAAATTTTATTTCTATATTATATAGACTATATATTTCTGCCTTGTAATCATTGGAAATTTTTGAAATAAACATTGTCGCAAAATATCTTTTTCTAAAGGACGTTGATCCCAGGAGGTCAATGTCTTGAAGAAACTTTCATCGTAAACACGGTGGTCTCGCCGTGCTCTATCTTTTGTGACACTCTAAAATCCAGAATTGAAAATACATCTTTTCTTTGCTAAATGAGAGCATCGACCTTAAAGGTCGATAATAATATTATTTCCCGCAGCAATATCGAATCTAAATTTTTCGATGTACGATTGTGCGAGTCAACTGTAACGGTATCTTTTTCAATAAATTCCGTATTTTAGATTCTCTGAGATCACGCATGTGCAAACTCCGGAACTAGAAATTTTAACCGCTGAAGAATATTTACCATTTCGAAAGTGACGTTAGCACAATTTGAACTTCTTCTAAAAACAACGTCTATTCACTAAAATTCAAGCGTTCATTTTCTCACTCAGTCTTTTCGAAGAATCAGGGTCACGGATAGTTGATTTATTGAGAAGTTGAGAAGATGATCGTCTTTTGATCTCGACTCATGTGATTTATTGTTTGGTAAATTCAATTTAAACTATCTGGAAAGCTGAATATTCGATAGCTGGTTACCAAAACACATTTCAAAACAAACACGCTGAAAATGCTGTTCTTTTCAAGGTCAATAATGATGGTTGTTAAAAATTCCTTTCATAAAAAGGCCTTCTTTCAGGAAGAAAAACTTCTGACAAACCCAGTCTTACGAGGCGATTATGCGTGACAAAAGTTTTAAAGCACGTAGCGTTCCATCTATTAATTTTCGCCAAGCGAGCCACGTGATTATAATCTTCCTGTGATGTCACAACGCTTTTTACGTAGCTCTTTGAAAGCATACGTTCGTGGATAATTTATATTTCATCGGATGCGCACCGTCATAAGAATGGAAGCTTTAATTGTTTATGAGATACGCGCACTTCTGAAGATGACCGCAAACGAGTCGATAATTAATGAACTTTTGGGGCTGTTCATCAAGTATCATATGATATTATTATATTAATGCCGTTTATGCAGAATATACAATATTAAATGTGCTCATTCCAATGAAAGACATACCACGAGAGAGGATGAAAAATTCGATCATCGAAATTTATTCTCATTTACCAAGTCTCAAATTTTCATTTTAATTTAGCACAAATCTTACCACATATAGAATATCAGTATAACTAGTCGTGTATTCTGTCTGCCTAAGGATGAGTAAATTCCCATTGTCGGTCCAGCCGGGTGATTCAAGACCGACGGCGACAGCGTCTGTAGTGAGAATCTTTGGTTGCTTCATTTGCAAAATGGTGCCCTAAATAGGATTTTTAAGCGAAGTGCTCATTATGATTTTCCCAATTGGCAATCGGGAGAGATTAAAGCGAGACAAGAAATATAAAAGGCCTGGTCTCAACCTTGAAACAACGCAAATAACTCAACTTATTAAAAGAGGCTCATTAAAGAAACAACGAGAAAACTGTCTAGTCAGACTGTTTTTTATCGAAACTGATAATATTCAGATTCTGCCGGCTGATTGTCAAATATTTGATTAGATAGCTTATTGCATATTCGGTTTGCATTTGTTTAATCGACTTCTTGGTAAACGCTGCTGTTTTTCGCCAAAGTCTGAAAAAATGATCATCATTGATAGAAGAGTTCATATTTGATCTGTTGAAATATCATCATCAACGAAGAAATTTGCAACTCGCTCTGAACTCGTTTGAAAGATCACTGATCTTTTAGATCCAGTGGATCATAAAAAATTGCAAAACTCAAACTGACCCTCTGTTACAGAAAATTGAGCGACCCTGCGCGACTTTTGTCGAAATTAAGACATTGCGTGCCCGATTTAATTGTATTTGAAATCGTAACGGAAGAGCCCTTCGCCCAAATATTGACATTTTCTGTTTTGGGACACGTTAAACAAATCTGTTTCAGATTTGGGACTTCTAACGTGACGTCACGGTGACGTCGAGTAGCCAGCGCTTGATCCTCCGCCCGCTGCCATTTTCTGCCAACATAAAGCGTTCAATTAGTTTTGAAAAGTTCAACGCCCTTACGTATCGAGTCTAAACGAGTGCCTGCTAATTTCGTATTTTTCGCGACATGCATATTTTCAGGAAGATCAGCCGGAAGAGCGTCACAGCAGAATTCAGTTTTTGTTCAATTTGAACTGCAATTATTAAAGTTTGCGCAACTATCAGGATAAACTCAGGGAACCCAAGTAGAGTAGAGTAACGTAACATCATTTCCATTAGATTTAACTAAAGCTCAGAGTCTGAAAAATGATGTCAAATCGTTTCCACGGCTTTTAAAAGTAGCCAAGGCAGTGTCCAAACATTAAACTTTGATACGTTCAGTCGCAAAAGCAAACAACAACGCGTTGATCCTTGGACACAAAGGCGACCCCTCTTGATTTTCGAAACAAGGAATCGCTACTCACCCAGTTTGGAATGCACGCTTACGCTAACCCTTACGTGACGACGCCCATTAGCGCTTCTCTGTAATAAAAAATGTGTAAAGGTGTTTTGCCGCCGCTTCCGGGTGCGAAGTGAGTGTCCGACTTATCTCATTTGTTCCGAGTTGCTTTCTGTTTGACTTCAACTGATTCATGAAAGGGCGTAGTAAATCATAATTTTCCCACGTTCGTTTTAAAAGAATGTGACGTGGCCTTGAAGTCGGACATTCCGATGATTCAGAGGCGATGAATTTTGTCGGGTGCAGCTTTCTAGGGCACCGATAATGAGTAATGAATTCATGATGCATCGCATGTTACACTTCAGGGGAGGCCTACCTTCAAGTTCAATAACGATGCCCCTCCAGATTTATCATGGAAAAATTATCCTTTTCTTCGCTATAAAAATAGAAGGAAAAACACTCAGAAATGGCAAAGTTGTTATTTTCCCAAACCTGCCCACTAATCAATTTATGATCGTTAATCAACTCTGTAAAGGAAAATCATAAAAATCAAGGATGATTCAGCTTTCGCGGTAGGTTTATGAGAGAGTCCTCAGGAATTTTTGCAACGCTTAGGTAGAAGAGGAAAAACGGAAATTCCAAAGACTCAAAGAACTTACTTATCTTTTGAAGACCTCTAATTAATTATATTTTTGTGCCTTCCATTTTGTTGATGCGTCATTTAAGCTTTGTCAATGTGATAACTGCCCTAATTTCATGCTGATTGTGTGCGAAAATGACTCCAAATGCTCCTGCGGACATAAATATGATTGATGACCTGACTGAAGGGGTTGATACCCATTATTTAACGTCACCTTTCCTAAGTGCCTACCACAAGCTTCAACAACTTTTTCTTTTCAATGCTTTTTACGCTCTTCGTTTACTACCGGTAATTGACACTTGGCCTGATTTCAACAGGTCTGAAGGATCAGGATGACAAGGTCGAAGGGCTCTTGGTGGTCCACGAATTCGCCATCCAGCGCAATCTGGACTCTCTCAGAATCGTTGCTCGCCACTGCCCTCATCAGACGCGCGCGCGCCACATTTTCTTTATAAAGAGCATAAGAGTCAGCAACTGATCAAAAAGAAATAGAACTAATTTCTCTCACTCAAAGCAATCAACGATTTGTTTTTAATTACACTTTGATACAACAACTACAGAAGACTTCCAGAGATTTCCAGCAGAAGACACCAGAAAATGCCAAGAGATCGAATCCCAGTACAAATTGTCACCCTCCCAGATGACCCGACCAGACCACTACCGGGAAACCCATCCGAGTACCGAAAGGTCGGAAAGATCGGAGATGGCTCCTATGGAAATGTCACAAAGGCGATGAACATCAATAATGGTCAATACTATGCGATCAAAACGCACAAGAACCTGAATTCATACAGTGGCGATCAGATCCGATACAGACTGATGAACGAAATCACCTTTCTCTCATCGGCTCACCTTTTGGGAAACCTTGATTCGCCCTATGTAGTCGAACTGCTCGACTGGTTCCAGAGCAAAGATAAGAACTACAGCATGGTAATGGATTACCATCAGATGGACCTCCACAAGCTCATGGTTAGCCAGGATCTGACGCGATCTCAGATCAAGTTGATCCTCGCCGAGCTTGTTCTTGCGATCGAAGCTTGCCACTCCCGAGGAGTACTCCACAACGATATCAAACCTGAAAACGTCCTTGTAACCAGCGATGGGCACATGGTCCTCACTGATTTCGGAATTGCCGAGTTGCTCCTTCCAGGCGAGAAAACTTTCGGACGATACGGTACTCCTCTTTACATGGCGCCCGAAAGTCTGCAAATCAAAGGACACGACTTCCAAGCAGACTGGTGGTCCCTCGGCGTTATGGCCTTCGAGCTTCTCGCTGGATACGTTCCTTACGAGGGTCGAACTTCCTCCGATCTTACCCGCGAACAAAAGAAGACTCTTGTCTACCCTGCAAGCATGGACAAAGTCTCCAAGGACTTCACCCAAAGCCTCCTCAAACGAAACCCCAAAAATCGACTCTCAAACGATATTGAACGCTTCAAATCTCATCCCTTCTTTTCTGGAATCGACTGGGAAGCCCTCGCACTTGGCGAGGTGCGAAGCAGCCTTTGTAAATTCTGCACCGATGAAGAAATAAGCATCGATCAGCGAAAGCGCAAAGAGCCCGTCCACATGTTTGCCAAGATGAAGCGATTTTTCTCGGCCAAGAAAATGTTCACAAACTCAGTGCCCCAAAGTCCGATCATCAGAAAATGCCGCAGTAGATTCAGCCTCCGATCGATAATGACCAGATCGACGGGCGCCCGATCCACTCCTTGCCAAAACTGACTGATACCTGATACAAAGCAGGGTGGCTATTTTGGACAAAATTTTGGGGTCTGGCCATCCAATTTCCATCCAATAAATTTTGAGTCGTAACTATCCATCCAAAATCCAACCCAATCCAATTATTACCCAATTCCCCAAAAATCCCCAATTCCAATTAGATCCAATTGGATTTCCAATTTTTCCAAGGCTTTTAGTGCTTTGAAAAGAACGGAAACAGTAATTTTTTATCCGAAAAGAGGATCAACATAGCCAAAACAATGATTTTTTATCCGAAATTGTTCATTTTTATCATGAAAATGAGCCTGCTTTGCATAGTTTAGCGAGATATTTTTTATTGGGTCCAATTCCCCAATTTCCCCCAATTGCCCAATTTTCCCCAACAAAATCCGGTACCCTGGCCATCCAAATTCCATCCAAACCTTATTGGATTGGATCCAATCCAAGTCCAACTAACCCCCAAATCCAAATTAGCCACCCTGATACAAAGCTGTTCTATTTATTATAACCTGTTCAATTATGCTCCGAACTGCCAACTGATAAACCATCAAAATATAATTTTAATATTGAAATGCACTCTCGTTCGTTTTGTTGCATAAATGATAGACAGAAGGTTCAGAAAGCTGGTAGAACATGTTTCGGAAGAGTTAAATAAAGAAAGACTCAGTTAAAAGTTGAATAAGCATGTAGTGCGTTGAGAAGTTCCTCCTTTTCAATTTTATGGCCACGATTTTGTTCAAAGAGGGCAATCGCCGCATCGGCAGACTTTCCGCAGATTTTCATGAGGTATCGGCAAACGAAATAGCCAGTTCTGTTGACTCCATGCGCACAATGCACGCCACAGATTTCTCCTACTTCTGGCCTGCCGACGAAGTCCATGAACTCTGAACCATTACTCATTAAAACTCATTCTTTGCATTTAGTTCAGCTCATTTCACTTAGATAGCCTCACGGGGGGTAAATTTACGAGAGTCTCATTAAAAAGAGAGGGAACTGAACTGAAATTGAACTTGATAAAGAATAGTAATATAATTATAGTCCGGAAGGGCGCAGTATTCAAGTTCATTTAATATTGGTTTTCTAAGTTGATGGCTAACTGGAGTAATTACGAAATGGCAAAGAGTTGATTGGAAGAAAAGTAAAGTTTGCCTCGGCGAAACAAAGATACCGTTACAAATCTGTATTTAGCGAGAAGTAATACAAGTTATAATTTATACCTTGAACTTTTTCTTCGCTGGGAATTTTCCCACCACCGTCTATTTCCAAAGCTAAATATTCGATTCCTGCATTTTTGAATAACGATTCATCGTATCGTTTTGATCTAAGAAGTTGTAAAACAGAAAATAGGGTAATTTCACTTTCCAGATAGGTTTATGATACGCCGTGGTTTCTTTTCCAAGACAGATGCGGGATTGAACTCATT